GGGAGCGTTCCAGGGAGAACGGGCATTAGTCGTAAGACTCCTATTAGCAAAGGGCTCCCTCTTCGGCCGCATGCGAGGGAACCCTGGCTCAGCTCATCAGGCCTGAGGACACGGGCCTGGGGAATCTCAGGTAGCAGGGCAGACTGGGCTGACTGTGCAGGGGAAGGGAATCAGGCAGGAAACATAAAAGGCTCTGGAGGCTAGTTTCAGATAAGGACAGGTGCTATCAAGAAGTAGAAGGCACAGAGGTGCCTGGGTGGCTCAGCCAGTTAAGCATGTGACATCAGCTCAGGTCTGATCTCATGGTTCATGAGTTTGAGCCCCGAGTCGGGCTCTGTGCTGACAGCTCAGAGCCCGGAGTCGGCCTCAGATTCTGTTTCCTTCTCTGTCTGCCCCTCCCCAGCTTGCGCTCTGTCTCTCTCTCTCAAAAATAAACATTAAAAAAAAAATTTTTTTTAACTTTCCCTCTTAAAAAAAAAAAAAAAAAAGAAGTAAAAGGAGCACTGTGATGGGGGAGGTGGCCCCATGACTGGGATGGCCAGGTAAGGAGGTAGCCTGAAGGTCACACAGAAGCTGAGGGGCAAGGGGCCAGCATGTGAGGCTCGGGGGGAGGGGGGGAGGAGTGTGTGGGGGGTGGGGGTGGGGAGGGTGGTTTGTGCAATTTACTCTACAAGCTTTTAGTGACTGTGCTAACCAAACCGGTCCCTGCAGCAGTCCAGGTGGCCGAGATGTCACTGGGTAGGCACAACCCCAGACAACAGTCACCAGCATAAATACGAGAGGTACGTAAAACCCCGAGTCACCTCCAAACGCCAAGCCCGAGATGCACGGGTGAGCTGAGAGGGACCCCCCCCCCCATTTCCCGTGCCCACTGGAAAGCCGGGAGGGGCCAGCGGGGCTGTGGGCTGGGGCTGGACCCCTGGGACCACACACAATGCCACAGAGCGTGCCCAGGCCTGCCCTGCTCCAGGCTCTGCAAGTGCTGTGTGTACGAGAGTCCAGTGTGCTTGGGCATTTATACCAGGTTACCCCCACCCCCCGGGCAGCACAGACACCTGTCTGCTCAGCGTGGTTGGATCCACATTGGTTTTGCCATGAAACCCCCTTTTACCTACAACATCTATTTCCATCCCATGATCTGGGCTTCCCTCTGGGAAGTGTTGCTCTAGGCCAAGCCCCATCCCGCCCCCATTCCATGGAGAACGAAGGCACTTCAGGGAGGGGAGGGAGAGGCAGGGGCCAAGCGGAGGGAACAGGACTGTGTCCTCATAGCACTTGTAGAGGCACCGCACACAGTCCCACCCACGTCCCGAGTCGTGGCCCCACTGAGACACAGGGTCTGTCCCCCCTCCTGGAATCTGGCCTGTGACTTCTTTAACCAATAAGACATGGCAGAAGCAACTTGATGGCAGGTCTGAACCTGGGGTCCGGGAGCAGTGACCTAGTGGCTCTTCCCACAAGGGCCCTGCGGCGTGAGAAGCGGGCTATGCAGAGGCCGCACAGAGGCGGACGCGAGCACGGGCCCCCCAGGCCCGGCCCTGGGGGAGCCCAGAGGAGCCGTCCCCGCAGACCGCCTGCTTCTGAGGCGTAACAATAATAAACGACTGTTAAAAGCCCCTAACTTTTGGGGTGGTGTCTGTGGACAAGCAGAACGGAAGACAGAGAAGGCTGTGATGGGCCAGGGAACAGGGAAGAAAGAAGCGGGGTGTCACGACGGGGAAAGAACAAGAGAGGGTGGGTGGAGAGGCCCCCGGGAAAGAGGCAGGAGGGCGAGGACAAGGAGAAAGGCCATGCGAAGGCCAGGCTTTGCATGTCTCTCCCTCCGACTCGGGCTCTGCGATCTCTCACACGTCTTTGGGGGGCCCTCAGCTCCCCCTGCTCCAGGGCCTGGCCGTCGACAGCTCTCCCTCTCCGCCTGCACCCACCCTGTCCATCCTTCTGGGGTCCTGCGGGCCCACCCGCCTTCCTGCATTTCTCCCACAGAATGCACTGGGGGTTCCCCTCGTGGCCCAGGCTCAGCCCGAGTCCGCACCCCTCTGCGCCCCGTCATCACGCCCTTCCCGCCCGCTCTCCCTCCGCACACCCTTCTTCACCCGGCAAGCCCTGAGCCTCACAGCCCGGCCTGGTGACGTCCACCTGCCTGAAGGTGCGCGCTGCTCCCTGCCTGCCGCTGAAACGCCATCCGAGCCAAGCTCTTGGCTTGCTCTTATCCAATAAAGGGACGACTTTTTATCGAAGGACCACGCGCACCCAAAAAAGCACACAAATCCTAAGTGTGTAGCTCGATGGGTTTTCATAATCTGAGCACAGCCGGGTAACCGCACCCAGATCTGGAAGCAGAACACGAGTCTGAGTGTCTACCCAGTCACCACCCTCCCTGCTCTGCAGACCCCACACGGGACTTGAACCTCCCATGGAGCGGGTGGCTCGGAAGCTGCATGTGAAAAAGGTAATGGCACTCCCCAGCTGGCCCTCCCCCACCCCCCGAAGCTGGAGGCCTTCCCACAGGGCAGCCCAGGGAGGCCATGGGGAGAGGGAGGGACGTAGGCCAGTTCTCAAGGGCAGAGGAGCGTAAGTGGGCAGAATAAAGCACACACGGATGCTGGGAACTGCACATTGAAAGAGGAAGGGCAACCCATCCCTATGCACATACCCTGTGAAGTCAACCATCCTGCAGCATTTCCCACACTGGGTCCCACGGAACACCCCGCCACCCCCGCCGGATGCTCATGCTGCCTGAGGTCTCGGATCAGCTGTTTCCTGCACACCTCCATCTGGGGCCACACAGTCATTTGTTCCAAAAACAGCACCTTCAGTGCACCGGGCCCTGTGTTAGGCACTGGGGAAACCTCAAGTGCAGACAAATTACACACCCCTGGCCCCAGGAGCTTCCATTTTACTAGGAGGGCTGGGCAAGGCATAACTCACCAATGCAGTAACAGAGGGGGTGGTGAGGAGAGCCCTGGGGCGTGAGGGGTGGGTGACCAGGAAAAGGTTCCCTGAGCTGGTCACCCCGGAAACGCAGGCCAGGCAGGCCCAGCAAACGCAGAGCCTGGAGGGGAGCAGGAGGTGAGGTGGCTGGAGTCCAGGGACGGAGCAGGAAGAGGTCAGAGGGCGTCAGGGCCACGGGCTGAGGGAGGAAGTAGACTTTGTGCTGAGTGAGGTGAGAAGCCACTAGAAAGTTCGGAAAACGGGAGTAACATGAGGTGACCCTGGCTGACCTGGAACCCGGGTGAGAGATGGCCAGGCCCAGGGACGGTGGTGGGGGCCTCAGAGCAGGCCTGGAAGGCACAGGCCACAGAGTCTGCTGGAGGATGGGCCGTGTCATGCTGGGACGGGGCCGCTCCGCTTATCTGGACCCCGTCAGAGCAGGAGCGGGGCCACCGTGCGTTGATAAACATAAACATGAACACATGCGGCTGCTGAGTCAGAGACAGAAGACAGGGAGAGGCCTCGAGTGAAAGAAGCCAACGGCCCTTTCCCAGAGAGGAAAGCAAAGGCTTGAGACGCTGGCGGGATGGGGGGACGGCCCGTGGGCCACTGAGCGCGAGCGCCTGCGAGGGCCGCACGGACAAGCAGGACAAGCAGGACGCGTGCTAGTGCCACAGCCAGCGCACATCCCTGGGACGAAAGAAAATGACTTCACTCTCTGGGGGAGATGGTTTCGGACAGGTAGTTCCCAGTGGGAACCAGTGCAGGGTCCCGGGAGCTGGGGCTCCCGTGTCTTCCCGCCCAACGAGCCGTAGCCCGCTCCCCTGCGTCTGGCCCACGGCGTCTCGCCTTGTCACCCACTTCAGCAGGCTCCCTGGACCTTTGCCGGATTTACTTTATGGGCTCAGTTTTGTTTTTTTTTTTAAGTAATTGTTACCTTTGGGTTTATTCTTTTTTTTTTTTTTTAATTTTTAAATATTTATTTTTGGGGGGGGAGAGAGAGAGAGAGAGAGAGAGAGAGAGAGAGAGAGAGAGAGAGAGAATGAGCGGGGGAGGGGCAGAGAGAAGGAGACAGAGAATCCAAAGCAGGCTCCAGGCTCTGAGCCGTCAGCACAGAGCCCGATGCGGGGCTGGAACTCAAGAACCGCGAGATCATGACCTGAGCTGAAGTTGCTTAACCACCTGAGCCACCCAGGGGCCCCAGGTTTGTTCGTTTGCTGACTGTTTCAATCTTTTTAAATTGAAGTATAATTAACATACTGACAATGTCACATTAGTTTCAGGTGCACAGCATACTGATTCAACAACTCCATACACCCCCCAGCGCTCCCGACGCCAAGTACAGTCACCATCTGTCACCAAACAGCACGATTACAACATTGTCAACTATACTCCCTATGCTGTGCTTTTCGTCTCTAAGACTCATACTGTTCATTTCTTTGAAAAGCACTGATGAAAGCGGGGCGCCCACACCCGGGTGGCTGGAGTGCGTGCCTCTTGGGCCTTCCTCTCGAGGCTTCTGGCTGAGCCTGGACCCTCGGGTTCACTGGCTGCGTCGCCGTGAGAGGGACTCACAGCACCTTCCGGTCGGCACCGCAAAATCCGGGACTAAGTGAGCCCGCGCCCGTGAATGGACAAAACCGAGCACACGGGAGGCTTTCGGACAGAGCGGGCATTGCTCAGGGCCCCTGCCACCACCCAGTGAACAAAACAAACTCCCAACCACTAGGCCATACCTTCCCACAGGCTCCTTAGAGAGAGGCGGAAAACAAGTAAAAAGGACTTGTAAAAAGCGATTGAGGACACTTAATTGTTAATACTTTGATATATTTTTAGCTTTTTTCCCCATGTAAAGCTCTCTATTTAAAAAAAGTTTTAACGTTTATTTATTATTGAGAGACAGAGAGAGACAGAGCATGAGCAGGGGAGCGGGAGACACAGAATCCAAAGCAGGCTCCAGGTTCCAGGCTCTCTGTCAAGCACGGAGCCCGAAGTGGGGCTGGAACTCACAAACCACGAGATCATGACCTAAGCTGAAGCTGGACGCTCAACCGACTGAGCCACCCAGGCGCCCCTAGCTCTTTATTTTAAACAAAAATCTGGCTTATGTTATTTTGTGTTCTGCTTTTGGCTCAGTTCACAATATAAGATGCCTTTCCCCAGGGCCGCCACTGCTGTGACTCCAACAGCCGTCACCTGGGGCGGTGAGGGGGGGGGGGTGCTTCTTGAAAACCAAGGCTGAACATCACTGAGGTGCTCTCAGGAGCATCTGTAACTGAGTCCTTCTGGTGCCCAGTCCGGGTGGGGGTGGGAGTGGGGATGAGGGCTCCAGGGAAACTTCTGTAACTGCCAGGATGATAAAGAAGTGGTCAGCAGGAAGGGCTGGGCACTGGTATTAAGCATGACTCAGGGATCAGGAGGAATACAGAGTGAGGTCATTAGCAGTCCCCAGAGACCTGGCGGGGGACTGGGAGTGGCCTGGGGCCCTAGAACCAGACTGCAAAGGGGTACGAAGTGAGAAGAGGACTAAGCCTGTGACAGAGGGCCTGGAAGGCACAGGAGGAAGCAGAGGGCAGGGGAGAGGGCTGCTGAGCCTCCAGGAGGGGAAGGGAGAGGGGATGAGGAAGACCAAGTGATGTCCTGGGGTCACTGGAGGAGGGGGAGGGCTCAGGGTGTGGGCCCAGTCCAATCCTAGAGTCTCAGTGGAGGACCTCTTCCTTTAGCACGGGCCTGGTCACAGGGAGGGAGGGGACCGTGTTGAAGAACCGTCAGGCCCCCATCCCCCGCAGCCGCACGGGCCCCCACCATCCTCTACGACACTGGGGCTGTGGCCCTGACAAGGTACACCTTTTCTTCCTGAAGGACGAACAGAAGACTGTCTGTGGAAGTGGACAGAAAGGAGGTTCTGGAAACTCACTAATCGGCACCGGCCAGGCTGCCAGCCAGGCACTCAGCCCCCTACCCATCCATCTAACCCATCGTCCACCTATCATCACACACCCACCTAGCCCTCATGTCTCCACCACACTCGTGCCAATCACCAGCCCACTCACCGCCCAGCCTCCACGCAGCCTCCAGCAGAGATTCGCCCGGACATATCTACCACGTGCCAGGCACTGTGCTTGGTGCTAGGGATTAATTTTCTTGGCTCCAGGATATTAAAGTCTGGTGAGAGACACATCAGTAACCAAGCAGTCCCACAAAAACACATAAGACTGCAACCGTGAGGGGTTCTGAGAACATACGACGTGGTCAGGCGAGGCCAGGAGGGCAGGGGAGAGCGTGCCCGGCGGAGTGAGAGCACAGGGAAGGAAGGCGCGAGGGGGCGACACTGGACCAGGCGGCTGGAGTCGGAAAGGCGGGGCGGCACCACACAGGGCCGGTCTCACAAGTTGCAGGGAGGTCTGCTGGCACGCGGGGCTCGCAGACTGAAGGTGTTCGGAGAGAGAAGGCAGAAGATGTGCCTGCGGGCAGATGGTAAGAAATAAGACGCACCTACAAAAGTTTTCCCAGCTGCACGGAGGACTCCAAGGAGGGCACAGCATCCTGGCCTCTTCGTGAGAAGGGCGAAGGTGGGGGCAGGACGGAAAAGACAGGCGCCTGCCTAGGGTGACACGGGCGGCAGAGGGTTCCACAGATGTCGCCTGCCCTCTGCCACCACTCTGAGAGCTCCTGAATACGGCCCGAGACATGCGGTTTCACAAAAGGCAACCGGAACGAGCCCCAACAACCCTCCTCCCCGTGGGAGAGCAGGACCAAAATGCCAGGATGGGGGTGAACAGGAAGCGGCACAGGCCATTTTGAAACCAGGAAACTTGTTTCTGCTGAACCCAAGTCCTCCAGAGGGAAGGTGAGGAAGGCCAGGCCTCGTGGTTCTTAAACCTTACAGTCTCCAGGATTTGTGTGTGGGGCTTATTAAATGGCACATTCCTTACTACTCAGCCATAAAAAAGAATGAAATCTTGCCCTTTGCAACGACATGGATGGAGCTGGAGAGTATTATGCTAAGCAAAATAAGTCAGTCAGAGAAAGACATATGATCTCACTCGTGTGTGGAATTTAAGAAGCAAAACAAATGAGTAAAGGGGGAAAAAAAAGAGAGGCAAACCAAGAAACAGACTCTCAACTACAGAGAACACACTGATGGTTACCAGAGGGGAGGTGGGGGGACGGGTGAAATGGGACGGGGGTGAAGGAGGGCACCTGTGACGAGCCCTGGGTGACGCATGGAAGGGTGCCGAATCACAGTATTGTACACGTGAAACCAGTATAACGTTGTATGTTAACTATACTGGAATTAAAACTAAAACTTGGGGCGCCTGGGTGGCGCAGTCGGTTAAGTGTCCGACTTCAACCAGGTCACGATCTCACGGTCCGTGAGTTCGAGCCCCGCGTCGGGCTCTGGGCTGATGGCTCGGAGCCTGGAGCCTGTTTCCGATTCTGTGTCTCCCTCTCTCTCTGCCCCTCCCCGTTCATGCTCTGTCTCTCTCTGTCCCAAAAATAAATAAACGTTGAAAAAATAAAAATAAAAAAAAACCAAAAAAACAAAAAAACTAAAACTTAATAAAAATGAATGAATAAATGAATGAACGAACGGACAAATGAATGAATGAACAAATAAACAAACGTCATGTTCCTGGGTTTGGGGCCAGCCTTTCCGCATGAGACCTTGGGTCTAGGGCTCAGAAATGACCTTAAAAAAAAAATGTTTTTAAAATGTTTATTCATTTTTGAGAGACAGAGACAGAGCTTGAGTGGGGGAGGGGCAGAGAGAGAGGGAGACACAGAATCGGAAGCAGGCTCCAGGCTCTGAGCTGTCAGCACAGAGCCCAATGTGGGGCTCGGACTCATGAACCATGAGATCATGACCTGAGCCTAAGTCGGACGCTGAACCGACTGAGCCACCCAGGCGCCCCAGAAATGACCTTTTAAACCAGCACCCCAGGTAATTCTGTTCAGGGTATCTGTGGGTTACCTTCTACAATGCTCTGCACTCTGTCAAGAAGAAGGCAAGACTACACTACCCAAAGTGGTCTGCAGATTTTACTGCGATCTCTGTCAAAATCTCAGCTGTTATTTCGGCAGGAATGAAAAGCTGATCCTTAAATTCATACAGAATTGTGAGGGACCCCGAACAGTTAAAATCATCTTGAAAAAGATAATCTTGGAAGACTCACACTCCCTAATTTCAAAACTATGATGAAGCCACAGTATTCAAAGTGTGGTACTGGACGAAGGACGGGCATATACACGCGTCAGTGGAGCAGAACTGGGAGTTCAGAAAACAGTCCACGCAGTCAAGTGATTTTCGCCAAGACTGCCAACATCATTCAACGAGAGCACAGCCCTTTCAACAAATGGTGCCGACACAACCGGACTGAACACATTCAAAAGAAGGAGGCCGGACCCTGACCTCACGTCACATACAAAATGATCTTCAAGGGGCTCAGAAATAAACGTAAGAGCTAAACGTGGCAATCGTTTCTTAGAGATGACACCAAAGGCACAAGCAACAAAAAAGAGAAAAGACAAAATGGACCTCATTAAAATTAAGAACTTTTGTCTACCAAAGGACACCATTAAGAAAGTGAAAAGACAGCCCACACGATGGGAGAAATATCTGCAAGTCCCATGTCTGATAAGGGTCTAGTGTCCAGAATAAATAAAGAGCTCTTCAACCAACAACAAGAACACAAACAACCCCATTCAACAGGCAAAGGACTTGAACAACGTTTCTCTAAAGAAACACAAATGGCCCACGAGAACACGAAAAGATGACCGGCGTTAGTCATGAGGGAAACGCGAACCGCAATTGCGCAGCACCATGCCACGCGCACCAGGACGGAGAGAAAGAGGAAAATGGAAAAGAACGAGAGGCGCCGATGTGGAGAAACGCCCCCTGCTGGAGGGAATGCCAAGTGGTGCAGCCACCGGGGAGAACAGTTTGGCAGGTTAACCTCCAAAGCTTCAACAGTTACCATATGAGCCAGAAATCCCATTCCCAGATATGTGCCAAAGAGCTGGGTCGGGCGTTCAAACGAAAACCACACGAATGTCCAGAGCAACCGTCACGACAGCCACGGAAGCTGGAAGCCACCCAGGCGTCCGCCGCCCGACGAGTGGACAAACGGAATGTGGTGTAGCCATACCGTGGAGTGTCACCGAGCCGTGAAAGGGCGGAGGCACCGGTGACGTGGATGCACCTTGAAAACACGATGCTCTGGGAAAGAAGGCAATTGCAAAAGGCCGCTTATCATGTTAAGCCCCTCGCTATGAGATGTCTAGAAGAGGAAAATCCATACGGGAAAAAGCAGATGAGTGGTTGCCAGGGGCTAGGGGAAGGGGGGCTGGAGAGTGGCTGCTCCCAGGTAGAGGGTTTCCTCAAAACCTGATGAAAACCTTCTGGAACCAGACGTTGATGAAGGTTGCACAACATTATGAATGTGCTAAATGCCACTAATGGTAACTTTCACGTTATGTGCAGTTTACCACATTTTTTTTTTTTTAAAGCAAAAGCTGGGGCGCCTGGGTGGCTCAGTTGACGTCCAACTTCGGCTCAGGTCACGATCTCATGGTTTGTGCGTCTGAGCCCTGCTCTGGGCTCTGTGCTGACAGCTCAGAGCCCGGAGCCTGCTTTGGATTCCGTGTCTCCCCATCTCTCTGCCCCTTTCTGCTCACACTCTGTCTCTCTCTCTCAAAAATAAACATTAAGGAAAAGAAAAAAAGAAAAAGTTGACAAGCCTCGGTTTTGCTGATGTACTATTGTTTTGCAAAACATTATCCCTGGGGAAGCTGGGGAAATGGTACTCGGATCTCTATTATTTCTTACAAATGCATGTGAATCTGCAATTATCTCAATAAAAATTTCAGTTAAAAAAAGAAGTAGGCAAGCTAAAATGTTGGCTTATTCATATTCAAAACTTCATAAAAATGAAAAAAAAAAAAAGATTGCAAATATAAAATGGAGTAAATAAGGAATTTAAGATTTAAGAATCATTTGGAAATGCTAAAGAATATATATAGCTTCGGTGTCCTTCCAAAGGCTGTGAGCGTGTGAGTATGCGTCCCTGCTCCTGCTTATTTTTGTCTTTTAGAGAGGAGTTACAGGACAGGCGTGGGGAGAGAGCCGCACCCCCTTACTGGAAGTACCCAGGGATTTAATTACAGCCACCAACAGGCTTTGATACTGACAAATCAAAGGGCTGCTCGGGGCCGTAAAGTTTCCCTTGAACAAGACCTCACAGGAAAAAAGAAAACGAGCTGCTGTCCTACGTTCTCAAAGGATAAACGCCCCTTACTAATTATTAGGAGTAAGAACGCATTTTATTTATTCCACGCCACCAGCATTACAGAATAAACCACTGCCCTTTCCCAGTAGTCGAGAAATCCTACAGGCAGAACTTGCTGTATACACTGAGACCCTGGCCAGGCCCTCGGTGCAAGTGGAGGAGCCATTTTCGTGTGACGGACCATCCCGCCCTCCCGGGGCCCACAGGGACTATTCTCAGGTTAAGGGCTTCACCTTAGTAGTCAAGTGCAAAGAAATACTTCTCAGCTTAGGGGCGCCGGGGTGGCTCAGTCGGCTGAACGTCCGACTCTTGATTTCAGCTCAAGTCATGATCTCCCGGTTCATGGGTTCGAGCCCCCACATCAGGCTCTGTGCTGACAGCACAGCACCTGCTTCAGATTCTGTCTCCCTTTCTCCCTGCCCCTTCTCCGCTTGCGCACACACTCTCTCTCTCTCTCAAAAATAAACATTAAAAAAAATTCAAAAAAAAAAAAACTTCTCAGCTTAGATAGTGTGAGCTAGAAGAAATGAGACAGGTTCTGTGCTTCCTGGAACGGACACAAGCTTGTTTTTGAGTTATATACAGTATTTGTTAGCTCTGATCCGAACTTTCTCATCTGGTACATTCCCCCAAGAACTGGGACTCCAGCCACTGGATTCTCCCAAAAACTGGCACTCTAGACCACAGTCCTGGGAGAAATGGCTCTGGTGACCAGAGACAGTGTTAAGACTGCAGCCCGTGATTCTGCTGCCCGCTGCCTGTACCTCTGCCAGTGGAAGCCAACGGCAGGGATAAGTGTGACCCAGGAGGCATCCACACTCTCACCCGGCAACTCGCTGCAGAGTTGGGTTTCCATCCAATTTTACGGGTCCGTGAGCTCCCTGAAGGCAGGACCGTGCCTGCCTGCCCGGTGCCCGGGCTCGGCGCCTGGCACACAGGAGCCTCCTTCTGAGCAGTCGTTCTTTGTGTGAAGGCACCCAGCCCCAGCCCCATGGTGCGCTGCCTGGACTGCTCCCGGGGCCTCCTCGGGGGGCTGTGTGCACCTTCACCAGCAGGCAGCACCCCCCTGGCCCCACACCACTGGGGCTACGTCACCCCCCTTCTCAGCCTGCTCACATGACCTTACACGGCCCCCACCGGGAGTGTGCATCAGAGCCCTCCCTGCTCTGCAAAGC